GATTCTTTCTGTCCTTTATAGTGTATGCAGGCTACCCAACCTAGCGCAGGTGTAGCACTCACACCCTTAGTCCCAGCATTGGACTATGGATCAGTCATAAACTCTAGATTCAGTCATCTTTGAAAATCCCACTTTCAATGAATGCATGAGGCTTTGGGAGTACATCATGAACCATAACATTTTCCCCCTGGCCCCCCAAAGACTCACGTATATTCTTTTATGCAAAAGGCATTTAGTGCATCTCTAGTCTAACAGCTCCAGAATTCCTGAAAAGTCCAAGTCCCAAGTCTCCTCCAAGATCAAAAGCAAACTCTTTGCTGTGAGGCCCTGTACAAATGAAAAGTTGAACACTTCCAACATTCAGTGGCACAGGATAGACATTTCCATTCCAAAAGATACAAACAGAGAGATATAAGAGGATGGGACAAAAGCAAGTCCAAAATCTAGCAGGGTAAACATTAAGTCCTGCAGTTCTATCTGCTACATCTGAGGCTATCTGTGGCAAGATGTGACTCCAAAGGGCTTGGGTGGCTCTGCCTCTACGGCACTTCCAGGGGTTGTAGCTCCCATGGCTTTTCTCTTGGGCTGGCTTTGCTCCTTCCTTGCACTTTTCCTCAGACAATCTGTGCTCCTGACTTCTCCAAACTTCTGGAGTCACCACTGCACCTTTGGCCTCTCACTAACAGCTTCACACACTGCCCCTTCAGGGACACACTGCCTGGCCTTCTGGGGCCTTTTTAAAAAACCTGGGTGGAAGCCTTCTGACCCTATGACCCTTGTATTCTCTATGCACCTAAAAGCAACACCATATGGATACTGCCAAGATCTGCTGCAGGCTGGAGCACTAGCCAGGCTTCCCTATCTCTTGGCTGTAGGAGTAACATGACTGGCTCACTGAGTACTCTGAATCCCATTCTGAGGACCAAAATCTCTAGGCTGTCCCTATTCTGGAACATGATGTTCTGGAGACTTCCTTTCAAAGCAAGATCTTTTACTTTTGCAATTCTGAGGCTGTAAAGGGTGGAGTCCTGCTGCTTCTTGTGACAACTTTAGCCATTTTTTCTATTGTCCTGTTCCTTCTCAGCAATCAAGATCTCTTCGGCTCTATGCTTATAGAATATAGCTTTATTGGAACTTCCTTTTTAACCTGACAACATTTTAAATCATTCTGGCCTCTTTGCTCTTCGTTGTCCACATAGATCTGACTAAAAGCCCCCAACAGCAGCTGTATCATAGCTTCAGTGTTAGACTGTTTTGAAATTTCTTTTGCCAGATTAATTAGTCCACTGCCCTTAATCTCCCTCTTGGGCAAAATCTGTGGACATGAGCAAAATGTATACAAACTTTCTGCCAAGTCATAACACACATCATCTGGAATCCAACAGTCAGTGTATTCCTTTTTCCCAGCAGAAGCCTCCTGAGCCTGGTATTTAACTGGAAGGATTTCTATCAGCCTTCTGGTCTTCTGAGCTCTGATCAGAATCTCCTATATATTACAGCCTAAGGTGTTCCTGCCCTATTTTTTCAGCTGGCATCTCTGAACTTTTCCAAACTCTTCCCACATTTCAAAGGCTCTGGAACCACATGATCAGGTGTAGTTATACTGAATTCTGCTTTAGTTACTTTTCTCACTGCTGAAATTACAATAGCCAACACTCACTAGGGAAGGAAAAGTTTATTTAGCTCACAATTCATAAAGGTTTTAGACCATAAATAGTTTGCTCCAAGGAAGAGTGGTGTGTGGCAGAGTGGCGACAGTTCATGGTAGTGGAAAACAGCAAACGCAATAAGCAGCAGACAAGCCTTTTCCTCTCCCTTATATTATATGCAGGCTACCTGCCCTAGGGTGAGTATAGTGCTCACACCCTTAATCTCAGCATTGGGCCATGAATCAATCACAGACTCCAGATTCAGCCACCTCTGAAGAGCCCACCCCCTATGACTGTGCAAAACTTTGGCAGGCTATCTAGACACAAAGTATAACATGGATTTTATATTTTTCTTAAACTTGCTATTTTTTCATTGTCTTGAGATTATTTTAGCATACGTAAATCTACTTTGTTCTCTTTAACTGTTGTGTATTATACGGCATAAAGGCAAAAGAAAGAAAAAGAAATACAAAGGCTGATTTTATATAATTCAAGATTAATTCCTTTGAAAAGTAGGATGTTTTAAGCAAAATAAGTTCAGAAAACAGACTTACCAAAGTTCACTTAAAAAGAAATAGAGGGGCTGGTGAGATGGCTCAGTGGTCTAAAGCACCTACTTGGAACAAGCTTAGCAGAGCACAGGGACTGCGGTTCAATCCCCCAGCACCACATGCCAGCCAGCCCCGCCCCCTGGTGGGCTGAGCTGTCCCCCCACCAAATAAAAAAAAAAAAAGAAAAAAAGAAATAGAAAACCTAAGCAGACTAATAACTGTCTGAATTAGATACTTTTGGAAGTAGTTGAGAGATTTATCCAAGAAGACTTCATAGTTTCTTTCAATACTATAAAGCAATTCCAAAACTCTTCTAGAGCATAAAGAAATAAGTGACAACTGGGGAGCATAGCTCAGTGGTAGAATGCTTGCCTACCATGCACAAAGCCATGGGTTCAATTCCCAGCACAGTTAACAAAAATGACACTGTCCGGTTATTTATTTGTTTGAAAGCGATAGCATCAAAGACTCATAAGGGAGCAAAAAGAAATGAACAGATTCATTTTACACATGGATTTTAAAGCAAAACTTCTCTATAAAGACTAGCAAATGGAAGCCAGTAATATACATAAAGAACAGCCAACTCTAGTATCATTGAGGGAAGCCAACACAAAATTAGTCATTTCTATAAGCTAGCAGTGAGCAATTGTAGACTAAAATGAATAACATCATACCACTTAAAATAGCCCCCAAATTGCAAGCCTTAGGTATAAGGTTAGACATGGAACTTATGCAGGGTCTCTATTGCTTCTCAGCCTTTTGGGTAAGATCAAGTGTAGTATATGTAGGGTCTATATGCTGAAAACTATCAAGTGCTATCAAACCAAAGACCTAAATAAATGGAGAAATAGATTGTAGTCACAGACCACATACTCCAATATAGCAAGGATGGTAGTTCTTCCCAAATTTATTTATAGAGTCAACATAATTCCTATCAAAATTGCATCCAGATTTTTGTACACACAAGCTGATTCCAAAAGTAATCATAAGGCAAAGGAGCTTGACTAGTTAAAATAGTTCTGAAAATGAACTGCACCCTTGGATTTCAGAGATAGTATAATAGCTACAGTAATCAAGACAGGGACATTGGTGTAGAGAGAAAATCCAGGGAGGAGAATAGAGAATCCAGACATGGAGCCGCATGAGATGGCCAATTGGTCCTTTTTTTTTTTTTTCCCCTCTGAGGAAAAACCCTCCTATAAAAGGGGCATATTTATTATGAAGACAGCATACACCAGGTACAATCCTCTAATATCTTAAAATACACATACACATTGTACATAAATTTGTATTATCAATATAAAAATACATCATTAACCTTTCTAAGGACAACAAATACAAAACCAATAAATGTTGCAATTCTAAAACACCTACTTACATTAAGTGCTGGTGAGTAAGATGACAGACAGTAAAAGGAGGCCAAAGCAGAAGAGAGAACCAACTCTTGGCTTCCAGCTAGATTTAAGCTTGCTTGGGGGGAGGTATCCCAGTATTCTCCATACACTTCTCAGTTCCCCAAACACTTCAAAGTGCCTGACAGCATCAACTCTCAAAGACAGAGGGCAGAAACACTAGACGTTACGGCATTCACTGTGCGCCCGACACACTCTGACCGCATTTAGGGAGATCACGAAGCGCCGCTCTGAGCGTCACTAAAGCCTCTGTGCGCGGCCCTCTCGCGGAGCACACCAGCCCGAATACGCTCCTTCTTACAATCATCCTTTGTGTGTCCTGTGCTTTTTTTTTCCTTTCAAAAAGTGAAATGGTGTGGATGGTCAGCAGGGACAAATAATAGAAAAACCCTAAATTAGTTCTAGCGTGGGAAACATGCACACGTGTCAGACAACGGTTAAAGGAGCAGTGGTTAAACCAGAGCGCAATGCCTTAGCCACAAACTGGAGTGCGACTTTCCCATGTTCTGACATCATCGGACTGATGCTGCAGTGGTGGTCTTTTTGTGAAGTTTATGAAACTTTATGTACTTCTCAAAAGATGGGGGGACATGTATAACTGATTTTACGCAGGGGTGAGCTTTTCAGGTTTTCATGGAGGTGTAACTGGGCAAGAGCTCCGTGGGAAGGTGTATGTAGGTCAGGAAATTCTTTCGGTTCCACACATGTGTGCACGTGCATCACAGAGATTAAGGGGCTGTGATGGGGCCCTGTCTTCACCCCCACGCTCGGTTCATGGGGGATTCCAGTCCCATCCAAATGGGAACTCCCACCCCACGCCTTTCCTGCCAGGCCACACTGACCCTCACTGAGGTCTGCAGCAGGCGACTCTGAGCAATCAGCACAGGCCCTTTACTCCCCAAGCTAATGTCAGGAGGGACTCATTAGTGGAGAGTCTCCCGGTTTGGCATCAGTGCTGGAAGATGGGCTGGGAGGTGGGGAATGGACGGCACTGAGGGCACACTGTCGTGAGAAACGTCCAACTTAAAAAGCAGGTGAACATTTTGAGAAGATTCTGGCTTGTCTGGCTGGGGAATCTCAGAAGTGACCACACATCGGAGCGCTCACAGGTTCGACACACACTGGTCCAGAGCCCAGCAGATCGCTTCTTTCCCTGAAGCACAGGGACTTCCTGAGAGATCACACGCAGCTCCAAAGAGCCCATCCAGTCACTATGTCACAATGGCTTTGCCATCACAGCATCCAGCAGCTCTACGATCCTGGGGCTCCTGAACCATTTTGGAAATGAAGAAGCCCCGCTTGGAACTCCGGTGTCACCGATTTCCAAGGCTAGGACGCTGCCTCAGTAACAACAATCCCTGGGGAGAGCAGACTCCCCTCTTGCCACCAATGTCCTCAGAGTGCAGCGTGCAGGCATGGGGAGGGGCAGTCCTGGAGGTACAGATCTGGCTCTCCCAGGGAGGCATGAGGTGCGCACCGTCAGAACTGCCCAGGAGGGAGCCCGGTTACAGTCCCCACGACACCTGTGCTCAGGCAGCGGCTACTTCTTGGGCTTCTCTAGGATGTTGAGGAACTTGCCCCGTGTCATCTTTACTCATCCAGCCCCAGCTGGTAGGCCAGGTTCTGCGGGCCTCGTACCTTCTCCATCAGATTAGCTGTGGTGAGGCTTCCTGGTTCTTTTAACATATCCATGTCATCACGCTCTATTTCAGCCATCCACTTAGGTGGGGAACCAGTAATGGGACTTTTGAAGGAAGCTGCACATTCAGCAACACCTGGCACTGTGATCCCAGCACTAGTGCAGACCGAGGCAGGAGCATTGCTTCTAGGTCTAGGTCAGCATTGTTCTGGCCAAAGATCTGATGAAGCACAGTCAAGTTTTTCAAAACTTAGCAATGATGCTTCCAAATCCGTCCCATCCGTGGGAGACGCCACCTTCCAACCCATATCACGTCC